CAGCCAACTGTGGCCATTTGAAGACGTGTGGACTTCAACTCCCAGAACTCTGGGAGTTGAAGTCCACAAGTCTTAAAGTTGTCAAGGTTGGAGACCCCTGGACTAGGGGACATTGCCATGGCGTTGTTGCAGAAACAAAATCTTCCAGGTGTTTGCCTCTCCTAGCATTAAACTGAATAGAGCTGGAAGGGACCTTGGAGGTCTTCTAGTCCAGCCCCCTGTTCAAGCAGGAGACCCTCTACCATGTCAGATAAACGGCTGCCCGATCTCTTCTTTCAAAAACCCTCCAGTGACGGAGCACCCACAGCTTCTGGTGGCAAGCCATTCCACCGGTTAATCGTTCCTCCCTGTTTGGAAGCTTCTTCTTGATTCCAGGTTGCGTCTCTCCTTGACTGGTGTAAATTATAAATTAGTTTAGAACGAACCTTACTCGGCTGCCACTGGGTGTGAAAACCCACCTGCATAGCGTCTCTTGCTCCTTTAAGGGAAGGTGCCGTTGACCTGGGTGTCAGGTGTACTTTTGAGAATCCCTAAGATCGAAGGGGCGGGCTTGCGGGTTTGATTCGCACCCAGAGCTTCTTAGTTCCTGTTGCACTAAGATTGCCAGCCTGCAGGAAGGGGGAATCTCCAGGGCTCAGGGTCATGCTTCTGTCGGAGTCTGAGGAGGGAGACAAACAGCTGACAGGGCGTGGGAATGTGGCTCCGTTGGCGGTGGAGGAAACTGGGGAAGGGCAAAGTCCGGCTGGGCAGAGCAGGGGAGAGGTAGAACAAGGGAGAGGGAGTTCAGAGAAAGACCTAGGCCCACCCACTCTTCACCCTAGGGCACGCAGGGCGGAACGGAGAAGGGAGCAACGTGGGTTGCGTGGCTTATGGGGGAGGAAACGGCCCTGATTCCCTTCATTTGCCACACCTGGGAATGAAAGTTTATAAGAACTGAATGCTGACTGAGGCAGCAGTTGGGAGCAAAAGTGACTTTATCTTGAATCGTTGTGGCTTATCTGTGTTCCTGACGTCTTCCCAACCGTGTTGTGTTATTGCCGTGTCTTCACGTCTGGAATTCTTGCTCCTGCCTCCTGCCTAATTACCTCAGTTTGGTTTGATTGGACTTAAGTTACAGTTTGTGTTGACCATGTTTTGGACTTGATTCTCCGCAGTCAAAGGTTGTTCCTGGGAGAGTTTTTCTCCAGCCAGAAGGTAACCAGGACATTGGGGGGCAATGTTGGAGCTAATAAAAGGACTCCTACTGATCATCTGACTGTGTGGCCTTTGGGTCATCGCAGTCGGTGTGCAAAGGGCAAGACTGTGGCGTGGCGTACTAACAGCGTGGGAAACTGGGGGTAAACCACGGGAAGTGGCTGAGTTGCAGAAGAGATAACTTTCCGAACGGCGGGATTTGAACCCGGAAAAGCACGTCGCTTTTTCGTTCAGAATGGGGCGTCCCCCAAAACTGACTGACCCTCCTCACCCCCCCCAGGGGCTGTGTGTGAGATGCTTGGTATATATTGTCCTCGTGCGCGCGAGGAGGCCCACGGGCGACACCCGCTCCCACCCAGGCTCGGCCGTGGGACCCGAGGCTCGTCCCTCTCGGGAAGGCCGGGACGGTGAGCTGAGAAAGGGGCTCCATCTTCGTTTCCTGGTCTCCGTCGTCCGGCTAATCCCCTTTTTCTCCCCTTTATTTCCCTTTTGTCCCGGGTACCTTTGTTGCTCGCTCTGTCTGGGAAAATGGCACGTTAATTCTTGCTCACACTTGCGAGGGGGAATTCTTTGGGGATGCATTAAATGGGTCAGTGGCTTTTGGATGCCTTTCCCTGTTGCCTGGGAGATGCCGGCTGGGAGAATCTCCTTGGGTGGGTGGGTGGGGAGAGGGGTCAGGGTGGGATGCTCCTCTCTGGAGGAAGCCCCTTAAAAATACCGTGTGTCCCCCCCCCTCTCCTTTCTCTCTCTCTCTCTCTCTCTCTCTCCTTCTCCCTCCCTCCTTCTCCCTCTCTCTTCTTTTTCCTCTCTGCCTCTCTCTCTTTCCCTCTTTCCCCCTCTCCTCTCTTTCTCTTCCTCTCTCCCTTTCTCCCTCTCCTTCTTCCCCTCTCCCTCTTTCCCTCTCTCCTCCTCTTTCTCTTCCCCTCCCCCTCCCTCTACCCCTTTTCCGCTCTCCTGTCTTTTTCTCACTCTGTCTCTCCCTCTCTCTCCTCCCCCTTTCTCCTTCTCTCTCTCTCTCCCTCCCTCCCTCCCTCCTTCTCCCTCTCTCTTCCTTTTCCTCTCTGTCTCTCTTTCCCTCTTTCCCCCTCTCCTTCTCCCTTCCCCTCCCTCTATCCCTTTCCCCCTCTCCTGTCTTTTTCTCCCTCTGTCTCTCCCTCTCTCTCCTCCCCCTTTCTCCTTCTCTCTCTCTCCCTCCCTCCTTCTCCCTCTCTCTTCCATTTCCTCTCTGTCTCTCTTTCCCTCTTTCCCCCTCTCCTTCTCTCTTTCTCTTCCTCTCTCTCCTCCCCCTTTCTCCTTCTCTCTCTCTCTCTCCCTCTGTCCCTGGCTTTCTCTCCTCTCCCTCTCTCCCCCTCTCTTCTCTGTCCTTCTCTTCCTCTCTCTCTTCCTCTCTCTCTCTCTCTCTGTACGAGGAGAAGTAGAGATAGGATCAGAAATGGCTTTGCTAATCCAGCAAAGGGCAGGCCTGGGAGGAGGGGGCTTGAGTGACAGGCCTGAGCCCCTCGGAAGAAGCGGGCAGGAGGATCTCTTGGAAGATCCAGGGAAACAATGTATTCAAGCAGAATTGGCGCCCACCCCCCATGACGGTCTGTTTTGTGCCTCTGCCCCCCAGCCTCACCTCTCCCAGCCCTATCAACAGCGCCAAGAGTGAGTCGGGCAGCACCCCTTCCGGGGAGAAGGCGGGGTTTGACCTTGGCCACGACGAAGAGGGCGACGAAAAAGCAGGAACGAGGGCAGGTAAGGGAAAGGATCTTTCCACCTGGAGACTGGAGCAGGGTATCTTGCGGACTTCAACTCCCAGCATTCCTCCTCCAGTCATGTGAGCTCAGGAATTCTGGGAGTTGAAGTCCACAAGTCTTAAAGTTGCCAAGTTTGAAGACCCTGGGATTTGAGAGTTAAATCTGTCTATCTGTCCATCCATCCATCCATCATCCATCCATCCATCCAGCTATCATCTATATTACAAGTCCTCAAACTTGGCAACTTCAAGACTTATGGACTTCAACTCCCAGAATTCTCAGCCAGCTGGCTGGAGAATTCTGGGAGTTGAAGTCCACAAAGTCTTAAAGTTGCCAAGTTTGGGGACCCCTGATCTATATCATCTATCATCCATCCGTCCATCCATCCATCCTTTAAATTTACGTGGCTGCCCATCTCCAGTATGGGTGAATGGCTACTAAAGTCGGAAAAACAGTATTTAAAAAAAACATATAAAGGTCATATAGACACTAACCGACGCACTCGTCCCTCGTGAAGACTTTTTCCATCGTGTTTTCTGCTGCTGTTTCTTCCTTTGGGTAAGACCATGGACTGGCTGAATAAGGCAATCCGTTTAAAAAATGCTGAGGCTTCTTTAAAAGGGATCCTTCCTTGAATCTGGCAGCCTGCTTTTAAAAACAGATCCTGTCAATCACAAGAGCCTTTATTGCAACAGGATCTGAAGGCGTCTCCCAACACGTGAAGAGGCCTGATGTGGAACAGATGTGTCCCATTCCCCCCCTCCCCCCAAAAAAACCCCAGAAAAAGAATATTCAGAGCGTTGGTTTCTACTTAAAATATATATTTAATAATAATAAGGACCATGCAAATTCTTGTAATAGGTGATCAAGCCAGGCTAGGTTAGGGTGATGGGGACACTTCGGGGCCTGGGTTATGTTTTCCCAACTTGCAATCATCTGAAGATGTTTGTTTAGCTGTTTTGTAAATATTTTCTGCAAATATTTTTTTTCCCTGCACGCCTCAGAGATCAACCCAAGCGGCTAATCGCCTGTGCACGTTACATGTAGCCAACTTACTAAATTGTATTTCGTTAATATGGTACATTTTACTAATGTGATATCGCCCTTGGAGCCTCCGGGTATGTTAAAGGGGAAAAGGGAAGAGATTGGGAGGTTGGTGGTCAAAGAGATCGGACAGAGCAGGTTTCTCAGCCTCGGCCATTTTAAGGCAATGTGGACTTCAGTTCCCAGAACTCTGGGAAGCGCCGTGGAGAGTCGGGCTTTAAAATGAATACAAATGAAAATACAGGTGTTTAAGGAGTGAAGCAGAAATCTACTTTGTTTCTCTCTCTCTCTCTCTCTCTCTCTCTTGGCCTTCCTCTTCCTCCGCAGAAACCTGGGGCCACGCTTTCCCAGAGTTAGACCACAGATATGTCGTTGCCCACGTGGAAGAAAATGGTGGTCGGTTGCCCGTGGAATGGTCCCCCAAGTGTCCTGCCCCAAGCCTGGAGACTTCGTGGGAGGAGCATCTCCTGGAACAGCAGGATCACTTGGAGAAAGAAATGGAAGAAGCCAAAAGGATGATCTCTGGACTGCAGGTCCTTCCTTCCTTCCTTCCTTCCTTCCTTCCTTCCTTCCTTCCTTCCTTCCTTCCTTCCTCCCTCCCTCCCTCCCTCCCGCCTTCCTTCCTTCCTTCCTTCCTTCCTTCCTTCCTTCCTCTTCCCCTTCTTTTCCTTCCTTCCCTCCATCCTTCCTTCCCTTCTCCCTCCCACTTGTCTTTCTTTCCTTCCTTCCTTCCTTCCTTCCTTCCTTCCTTCCTTCCTTC